CCCCAGGACGCGTGGTCAGTGGTCAATGTTCTAACAGCTGAGGCATGCAAAAACATAAGAGTACGCCCCCCCCTCCCTCTCTCCCCCCCCTCGCTCTGCGCGCGCAGCATTATCCGGACAGCAATGGTTGGCGTCATGTTTTCTGCCGTCAAGAATCCTCCTTCAAGGATCGTATCATCATCGTCATCATCGTCATCGTCTTGCACCGACGATGAAGTCGAGGACGGGGCGCCGTGGTCTGCTGCTGTAACCACGGGGGGGGGGAAAGGGGCACCGTGGCCGCGCGACCCTTCGACGTGCTTGCTGTGGTGTGCAATCGCTCTGGGAGCCCTCGTGCGAGGCTGCCCCGTGGAGCACGTGAGTGTGACGCGGATTTATTCTCACACACACACCCCCCCCACACCCTGTTCACAGCTAGACTACGCTAGAAAGAGTGATGTTGTGTGTTGGGCGAGTGCGCTTGATGGCTGGGCGGTCTCTACACCATGTAGCTTCCGTAAGATTTCAAGGAAGGACGATGGATGGAAGGCGTTGGGGCCTTACTGGTGTTGCGTAGTTCCAATTCGTTTGACATTGGAGGTAGTGGTGGATGGGCGTGATTGAGGGGCAACCCATTGATCACAGCCTGTTTTTGACGTCACCCGTGGCTATTGGAATTACCATTACTGTAATCATCAGAATGTGATATATATTTGTGGTTACCTGGCAATGCACTTGCCGGTTTTCCGCCCCTAATCTTTCCGCGAAGAGGAGACCTCTACATGATCGATAATGACATGACCCGAGCCTACACACCACACCTCTTGCCTCCACCTGCTATACCAACGAGCGTCTACCCCTCTCACCCCTGTCTTCTTCTCCCTTTCGTCTTGTCCTTGGTTGTGGTTGTCACCGCCGCTGTTTTGTTTTGTTTTTGCGCACACGGGTGCTTCCGGTTCTAACAGGTGAAGTCGTACGTAGACCTGGCGCAGGAGTCGCTGGCGACCTTCAGAGACCAGGCCAACCTCGATACGGCTAGGTAAGATGAGAGGGGGGGGGGGGGCCC